CTGCATGATTTTTGGATTAACAATGGAATCAAGATGGAAATTTTTAAAACCCTTTTAAATAAATGATAATAGTGACACAAGTTATCAAAACTTCTGGGATACAGTAAAAGCAGTGCTAAGAGGAAAGTTTATAGCTCTAAATGCCTACAGCAAAAAGTCTGAAAGATCACAAATTGACAACCTAATTTCATACTTCAAGGAACTAGAGAAACAAAAACAAACTAAACCCAAAGCTAGTACAAGAAAATAAGATCAGAGCAGAACAAAATGAAATTAAACAAACAACAACAAAAAAAGATCAATGAAACAAAAAGCTTGTTCTTTGAAAAGGTAAAATTGATAGACCATAAACTAGATTAACCAGGAAAAGAAGAGAGAATATTCAAATAAACTCAATTTGAAATGGAACTAGAGACATTTCAACTGACACCACAGAATTATGAAAGATAATTCAAGACTACTATGAGCACCTCAATGCACTCAAACTAGAAAATCCAGAGGAAATGAATAAATTCTTGGAAACATACAAGCCTCCTAGATTAAATCAGGAAGAAATAGAAACCCTGAGCAGACCAATAACACACAGTGAGATTGAATCAGTAATAAAAAAAGCTGTTGACTTCAAAAAAAGCCAGAGCCAGATGGATTCACAGCTGAATTCTACCAGACGTTCAAAGAAGAATTGGTGCCAATCCTACTGAAACTATTCCAAAAGATTGAGAAAGAGGGAATCCTCTCCGACTCATTTTATGAAGTCAGTCTCACTCTGATACCCAAAACCAGGAATACTGGTCTGTAGAAAACTACAGACCAATATCCCTGATGAACATTGATGCAAAAATTCTCAACAAAATACTGACTGAATTCAATAGCACATCAAAAAGATAATATGCAATAATCAATTGGGTTTCATCCCAGGGACACAGGCATGCTTTAATATATGCAAGTCAATAAATATGATATATCATATAAATGGAATCAAAAAACAAAAATCACATGAGCATTTCAATAGATGCAGAAAAAGCATTCAATAAAATCCAGCATCCCTTTATGATAAAAACCTTCAACAAACTAGGCATCTAAGGAATATACCTGAAAATAATGAGAGCCATCTGTGACAAAACCACAATTTTCATTACACCAAATGGGGAAAAGTCGAAAGCATTTCCTTTGAGGCCTAGAACAAGAAAAGGATACCCACTTTCACCACTTCTATTCAACATAGTACTGGAAGCCCTAGCCAGACCAATCAAGCAAGAGAAAGAAATAAAGTGTATCTACGTTTGAAAAGAGAAAGTCAAAATATTGCTGTCTGCTGATGATATGATCGTATACCTTGAGTTTGGATAAAAGAATTCAGTAAAGTCTCAAGTTACAAAATCAACGTACACAAATCAGTAGCACTGCGATATACAACAATGACCGAGCTGAGAATCAAATCAATAACTCGATCCCTTGTACAACAGCTGCCAAAAATAAAATACCAGGAATATACTTAACCAGGGAGGAGGTGAAATATCTCTACAAGGAGAACTACAAAACACTGCTGAAAGAAATCACAGGTGACACAAACAAATGGAAACACACCCCATGGATGTGTTTCACAGATCGGAAGATCAATATTATGAAAATGACTGTATTGCCCAAAGCAATCTGCGGAGTCAATGCAATTCTTATTAAAATACCAACATCATTTTCACAGAATTAGGAAAAACAATCCTGAAATTCATATGGAACCAAAAGAGAGCATAAATAGTCAAAACAATCCTGAGTAGAAAGAATAAATCTGAAGGCATCACATTACCAGACTTCAAATTATACTACGAGGCTATAGTTACCAAAAGAGCATGGTACTGGTTAAAAAAAAAAAAAAGGTAGGCACATTGACCAATGGAACAGAATAGAGAACTTAGAAATAAAGCCAAATACTTACAACCTAGTGATCTTTGACAAAGCATACAAAAACATAAATTTGGGAAAGGACACCATATTTAATAAATGGTGCTGGGAAAATTGGCTAGCATCTCTCACCTTGTACAAAAATCAACTCAAGATGGACAAAAGACTTAAACATAAGAGACGGGAAACCATAAAAATTCCAGGAGATAACCTACGAAAAACTCTTCTGGACACTGGCCTAGGCAAATAATTCATGACTAAGACCCCAAAAGCAAATGCAAAATAAATAAATAAATAAATAAATAAATAAATAAAACCTAATTTAACTGAAATGCTTCTGTACAGCAAAAAGAATAATTAGATTAATCAGACAACCCACAGAATGGGAGAAAAATATTTGCAAACTGCGCAGCTAACAAAGGACTAACATCCCAAATCTACAAGGAACTCAAAGAAATCACCAAGAAAACAAATCCTATCGAAATGTTGGTAAATGACATGAACAGACATGTCTCAAAAGAAGGTATACAAATGGCCAAAAACATATGAAAAAAAATGCTCAACATCACTGGTCATCAGGGAAATACAAATGAAAACTGCAATGAGATACCAACCTACTCCTGCAAAAAGTATTGTTGAATTTAATTATTAAAAAGAAAAAAAACAAAACAATAGATGTTGGCAACGATGTGGTGAAAAGGAAACACTTAAACACTGATGGTGTATATGCTTCTATGGAAAACAGTATGAAGATTTCTTGAGGAACTAAGAGTAGATCTATCGTTTGGTCCAGCAATCCCACTACTAGGTATCTACCCAAAGGAAAAGAAGTCATTTTATTAAAAAGACAACTGTACGTGTATGTTTATCACAGCACAATTCACAATTTTAAAGATATAAAACCAACCTAAGTGTCCATTGATTAGTGAGTGGATCAAAAAAAATTTGGTATATATATACAACATGGAATATTACACAGCCATAAAAAAAGAATGAACTAATGTCTTTTGCAGCAACTTGGATGGAGCTGGAGGCCATTATTCTAAGTGAAGTAACTCTGGAATGAAAAACCAAATACCATACATTCTCACTGAGAAGTGGGAGCTAAGCTACAGGTACCCAAAGGCCTATAGAGTGATATAATGGACTATGGAGACTCAGAAGCAGGGAGGGAGAGGGAAGCGAGTGAGGAATAAAAAATTACATATTGGGTGCAATGTACACTACTTGGGTGATGGGTACCCTAAAATCTCAGACTTCACCATTATGCAATGCATCCATGTAACCAAAAACCACTTGTACCGCAAAAGCTATTGAAATAAAAAAAGTTAAAATTTTTACACTGAAAATTTTTGTGAGAACTTTATAAATATATAAATTCAAACATCACTGACCTAGACTCCCTAAGTTATCTATTTGTTTTTGGTTTTCATCCCCTAAACGTTTCTTCTTCAGGCAACTCTTACAGTCATATACCTGGCACTTTCATTACAATCAGATGATAAAATTTCCCAGTTAGAACGGGACTCAGTGGGATAGCTAGTAACTCAGAAATCTGGAATCTTGTAGCCTTGTACTTTTTGGAAATTTATCATATACTATGGTGGGAAAAACGAATGAAAATGACTAACTTCTTTGTGTTAGTCACTATCCTAGTGCTTTGTGTCCTCAGAACAGTCACTTTAGGCAGGTATCATTATCCCCATTTCACCAATGACAAAACTGAGCCCCAGATGGCTTGTTAACTTGTGCAAGGTAGCAGAGATAATACGGGTAAGAGCAGAGGATAGACGGCATTTCTGCCTAACTCCATAGCCATGGTCTTACCAATACTCCATTCCACTCCTCAATATCTTGAACTTTTAAGGCAAAAAGATTTTTCTTTTTTTGAGACAGAGTCTCGCTCTGTCGCATGGGCTGGAGTGCAGTGGTGTGATCTCGGCTCACTGTAACCTCCGCCTCCCGGGTTCAAGCAATTCTCGTGCCTCTGCCTCCTGAGTAGCTGGGATTACAAGTGCCCGCCACCACACCCGGCTAATTTTTGTATTTTAGGTAGAGACGGGGTTTCACCACGTTGGCCGTGCTTAAGGTGAAAAGATTCTTATTGGACACAATTCACAGAATGAAGATGATAATTGAAGGCTCTCTATGCTGATTTCACACCTACCAGTGACACAGTAAAAGATGATGGGGCGGCTGGGCGCAAGGGCTCACACCTGTAACCCCAGCACTTTGGGAGGCCGAGGGGGACGGATCACAAGGTCAGGAGATCGAGACCATCCTGGCTAATATGAAATCCTGTCTCTACTAAAAATACAAAAAACTAGCCAGGCGAGGTGGCGGGCGCCTGTAGTCCCAGCTACTTGGGAGGCTGAGGCAGGAGAATCGTTTGAGCCTGGGAGGCAGAGCTTGCAGTGAGCTGAGATTGCGCCCCTGCACTCCAGCCCGGGTGACAGAGCAAGACTCTGTCTCAAAAAAAAAAAAAAAAAAAAAAGAAAGATAATGGGGCTCCCCTAATCCTGCTCTCACTCACCTATTGATGAGCTTAGAAGCTCAGAAAGGCAGCTGATGTTTAGAAACTCCCACTACCCTCAGCTCAGGTTGAATTGGAGAAGTTGAAGCCAATATTGTAGTATCTGGAGGAGTGGAGGTAAGAATAGGGGGACAGTGGCCTTCTTCCAGCTTCCAAGACTAGTCTTGGTGATGCTGTGATAACAAGTATTTGTTCATCCATTCACCTATTCACTCAATTGTCATTGCCTGCCTACTATATATAAGGGAATGGATTCAAGTCACATGAATGTTTAGGTAGCACAACCTTATTAACCTGTATATTAGGTCTGCTGTAAACCACGATACACAGCAACTTTATGAAAAATTAGTAGCCATTTTCTTGGTTTCCCTATAGGAGGTCTGGATACTGTTTGAGGGGAGGGGCTATCACTGATAATTGGAGGAGAGCTGTGCACACAGTAGCCCCTACCCAAGAGCATTTTTATGAGGCTTCTCTAATTACTGTCTATGTGTTTGGATTCTGAGTCATAAAAGACAAGCCAACATATTAAAACATGTATATCAATCTAACTCAAATAGTGATCTACCGAATGAAGGCAGGCACTGCTCCTGTCTTAGGCGTGAATGCAGTCCTCATAGTGGTAGCATAGGAATCCCAGTTGGGGCCACCTGCTAAAAGTACAACAAAGCAGTTTTAAATATGGCAAACCTGAATGTTTTGATGAAACGTTGTTTTAACAATTAAGATAATTTTGCAAGATTAAAAAAAAAACATTTTGGATAATTTATCTTTAGAGTCTAAGGAATAAAGGCCAAAATACAGCCTCTAATAGGAATGAGGGAAAGCTTGACTTATTTGTGTTTCACCCCAAAATAAAAGATAGTTCTACTGTTTCTCCTGAGCATTCGTGCATGCTATTTGAAAGAATTAAAGACAGACATAAAAATATAAAGAGGAAAGCAGTTCATCTGAAATTCTATCATCTTAAAAGACCCACTATTATGCTTTGGTCACCAACTTTACATGCATCATCTTAGATGTACCTATACTTGCATCATACTAGATATGATTTTACACACAGGGGATCATATGACATACATCAAGTTTTATAATGGACACCTCCTTACTTCTTTCTTTCCCTGCCATTGCCACTCTCCTTCCTATCCCTCCTCCCAGGCAGCACATGTTAACAATTGTGCCGGTTTCTTTGCATACCTATGGAGGTATCACATGCTGATTTATACATAGACATATTGGGTTTCAGTTATCAACCTTTTGTTTCACAAAAGTGGGTTCATATGCCACAAAGTGTCTTTTTCTTATATCTGTCACTAACAGTGTCTGATAGAAAACCCCTCCAAGTTATCTGGCGTGGTTCTAATGCATGTCTTGTAATGGTTGTGCAAAATCTTGTGGTGTATATGCTATTTAAAGCTATGAGAGTGGGGAGATCAATGAGGGAGGGAGTAGACTTGGAGCAGAAGTTCCGAGGCTGAGACCTGGAACACTCCAATGTCAAGAATTTGGAGAGAGAAGGTGGAACCAGTGAAGGGGCTGAAAAGCACCGTTAGCAAGGTGATGAAGAAATCAGGAGCCAGTGGCATCCTGAAAGTCAAAGAAAGTGTCCCAGAGAAGGGAGTCAAATACTGCTGATGGTTCCAGGAGGATGCTGGCTGAGAACTTACCACTGGTAGTGCTATTGTTTGAATGTGTTCCCCAAATTTTGTATATTGGGAACTTAATCCCTAAATGTATATGTTGATAGCATTTGGAGGTGGGGCCTTTGAGAGGTAATTAAGATTAGATAAGGTAATCAGAGAGGAGTCCCCAGGGTGGGACTGGTGGCTTTATACAAAGAGGATGAGAGACCTGGGCTAGCACATTCTTGCCCTGTCATCATGCAATGCCCTCCACCATGTTACGATGCAGCTAATAGGCCCTCACCCAATGCCAGTGCCATGCTCTTGGACTTTCCATCCTCTAGAACCATTAGCTAAATAGTATTCTTTTCCTTATAAATTACCCAGTATGTAGTATTCTGTCATAGCAACAGAAAGTGAACTAAGGTAGATACCAGCAACAACACTATTTATTTGCCCCAACCTCCATTGTCAACAAAGTACCACCAAATTTCTCAGGAATATACATTTTAAATTTAAAATTCAGTCATTCTCTCACTCTTCATATCTAGGTAGTTACCTGCTGCTTTTTAGATGTCATGAGAACCTGGGTTGAACGTCTCTACTTTTTGAATAACACAGTGTTCTCTAGGATCTATCACTTCATCCCTAGAATACTGTAGCCAGTATGCTTAGCATAGGGAGCTCTGGCCAAATATTTATGGTTCCTGTTATCTGTGAACCTCTTAATGTTCATATCCTCATCTATCCCAATCAAGTCTTGTTTATAACCTAACAGACTCTCATTTCCAATCAGGACCTGATCATCTGCAACTATTACCTGTCCTCTTAACCCTGGCTGAAGTTCTACCTCCACTTAAAAGCCCCTTAGAGAACCCAAGTCTTAGTCCCTTGTATTCTGCACTCTGTACCTGTGCTTCTATGCACTCCTAGTGTCTGCTCTCTAATCCTGCTCTACAAGAAATGACGTCATTCTCCAATATTCCTGCTTTAGTGGGCATCACTTTATGCTTGAAAGCATTTTATCCCAATAGCAGAATTCAATGTTCTTTGTTAAAAGAATTACAAGTGTGAACAAGTAAAAGGGAAGAAATTGTGTGGCATGCCACTCGTAAAAGCAGCCTTCTCTAACCTGATTTGAACTTCTGCATTGGACTTCTGGAAGGATTGGGAAGGATATTCTGCACAAAAGCCACATATAACTTCTCCCTCTTTTTTCTAAGGCAAACAACTCTAACAGTCCAGATCACATTTCTACTAGGCTCAGATATGCCTCAAAAAGCCTGGCAGAACAGCACTCCAGGCAGCACCTCCCAAGCAATCATGTGGGCAAGCACGACGTACCTCTCTGTGCTCCCATCTAGGGTCCTATCCCTTCTGAAGATAGTTTGGCAACTGGGGTCACCAATTGCCAGGTGCCTGTATCAGGAGCCTGACGGACAAGAGCAGCATGCCTCACTGCTTCCAGGAACCGAGGCCACGCAAGCCTCCCTCTTCCTGTGTTACATTTGTACAGATCAGGCACTCCCTCCACTCCCTAATCCTTACCTGCTTGGATGCACACTTTATCTTTGGTACATCTTCCTTTAATTTCATGTTAATGATTTCCCTTACTACAACCCTTTTTGTCAGGGCTGTATTTCCATGCTTTTTACCTCCATTGGCAAAGCTTCTGAAAGTACAGTATGCTATTGGAATTGATCTTCTTCATTAACAGAAATGTTCATTGAGAAATCTGTAATCACAATATTCTGAAAATCTGTTTCTAGTATGTTCTCTGCATGTCACTACTTTCTTCTCAGTGTCTCAATGTCTTTTTCTGTAGCTCATATCCATCCTTCCTGTGATTATGTCTTCCTCATTCTTTCTTCTCTCATTTTCTGTTCCTCCTGCAAACAAGTCCCCAAGCCCTCCCATGGACCAAGCCCTGTGGGGCACTGGGACATAGAGTCTTGACCTGGCCTTGGAGAAATCACAAGCCAAGAGATGAGCTATGTATCCTATGAGCACAAGTTTAATGTGGTGCTGATGGCCTATGTGTCACAGAGAACATGAAGAGGGTGCAATTCTTTTTGCTTGGATGAGAAGATGGTGCAGCAAGGGCAGGCCCAGGGGTCATCATAGCATAGCTGGCACCTGAGCTGTGATTTAATTTAGTAGATGTTTGAACGAGAAACACAGGACATGAAGTAAAGCAATTTACAGAGGAAGTAGCAGGAGATATGAGAGTCTGAGATGAGACAGAACAAATAGCCCCATGTGAATGGAGCAAAGGGAAAGATGGCTAATGACAGGTCGGCAAAGCATCCTAAAGCCTCATTCTGCTAACCTTGGCCACCCACTGGATGTGTTCACCATTAGGAAAATATAAAGCTATAAAAATATTATAAAATAGTAACTAATATGTATATTCTATCATACTTTAAAAAATATTTTCACATACGTTGTTTTATTCCCTCATTTTGTTTTAGGGATTCAAGCTATTGATAAATACAAGTTGTTTGTAATGTGCCACATGGTGACACTACAAAAAAGATAAGTCCATGTCCTAATCCCCAAAACCTGTGACTCTGATCTTATTGGGAAAAGGGGTTTTTGTGCTAGCAATTAAAGATCTCGAGATTAGGAAATCATCCTGGATTATCCTCGTGTACCCTAAATGCAATTAAAAGTGTGCTTATAAGACAGAGGCAGAGACCTGGAGTAATGAGGCCACAAGCTAGTGTTATAGAATCTCTGGCGTGTTGATTTTTCTGGCTGGAAACCTCTGTGCCTGCAGTGCCTTTGCCAGCCTTTGCCAGAGTTTTTGTCCCGCATTGAGGTACACAGACAAGTGAAGAGTGAAGAAGAGTTTTAGTGTTAGAACAGCTCGGAGGAAGGAGTAGCTTCTCTCTCTAGGCAGGTCATCCAGTCAGGTGTTCAGCTGTCAGCAGAGAGGAGGCCCTGCAGAGCGTAGTCCTCTCCATAGGCAAGTCATTTGGAGGTCTCTGCAGGTCTCTGAAGCTCTCAGCAGAGAGGGTAGCTCCTCTCTGTCAGCAGTGGAAAGCCTACTCCTTCCTTTCTGCAGCTAGTTGCCCCATCATCTCCAGTTATCAGCAGAGAGCATACTCCTCTGCAGACGATGGTTCCCTTGTCTCTCCCTGCCCGCTTCATTCTCTGGCCATGCTCTTCCCTGCTCTCTGGCTGAGCCCAGGGTTTTTATGGACTTCAGAGGGAAGAATGTGCATGCTGATTGGTCCATGGGTGGCCATGGGCAGGCTGGAGGAGGCAGCATGAGTCCCCACTCAGGTTCCTGACTGGCAACCTGATCCCCAGTCTTCAGGCCCTCCCTGGTCAGAAGGTGGGGCCTTATTGGGCAACCCAGCCCCTTCCACCCAGGACTCTGTCTGCCTCCAGCTGCCATTCATAGCCCTGGGGCTTGGCCCCAACCCCACTCTGAGATCAGAGCCAGTGGAGAGAGGCCAGGGAGTGCGAGCAGATACCCCTGAGCCTGCAGGGATGAGGATGGGGTGTGGCCTGGCAGTGGGAGGAGATACCCCTGAGCCTGCAGGGATGGGTGGGTGAGGGTGTCCTTCCTGGGGGGTTCAAGGGTGCAGGCTGCAGAGATGCCCAGGTCCTGTGCCTGGGAGGGCAGCCACAGCTGCACCAGGGAGCTCCCGCCTGACCAACGTGGAAGAGGCAAAGCTCCCGCTTGTCCCTGGCTCCTGTCTGCTTCATGGAGTGGAAGGCCCAGGTCTGCAGCCGTGGGTTCCACAGGGAGGCTCAGAGGCACAGGGAGACCCAGACCCACAGCGGCAGTTTGGGTGGCTGTAGCCTTGCCCAGGATGACGGGGCTCCTGCCTGCTCCATAGAGCAGGAGGCCCGGGTCTGCAGCTGTGGTTTGGGCGGCTGTAGCGGCACAGGGAGCTCCCATCCCGACTCAGAAGGGGCAACTCCCACGGGTTCCATGGAGCGTTGCAGCCCCAGCTGTGCTTCCCTACTGCAGCCAGCATGATGGCAGCAGCCACTGCCACCACTAGCAGTGCCCATGGCCACCTGAAGCTGGAAGAGGTAAGGACCACTTCTCCCCCAGGGCCTGTGGAGGGAGTGCAGACTTTTCCAGACCTTGATTTCAGGCTCTCGACCTTCAGAGCTGTGAGCAAATACATTTTTGTTGTTTGAATCCACCAGTCTGTGGGAACATACAGCAGCCACAGGAAGCTAATACAGCACCTGAGAGGCCCATCTGTAGTAATTATTCAATAGCAGTTAGTCATCAGTCACCATCAACCTCATCCTATTTTGGACCAAAGCTGGGCAGTGGTGACACATCAAGCCCACCTTTTGGAGGGTGACTCACCCAGCAGTGGGGGATGAAGTGGCACAGACTAGCCATTAGAGGCCCGAGCCTGGAGGTAAAGGGGCAGATTCACCCAGGGGAAAAAGAGCTTTGGAGGCAGAATCAAAGAGACCTGGTGATCGGACTGCAGTCTCAAGGAGGCTGCCTTCCCTTCTAAGCTGAGGAGCTAGGACCCTCTTAACTGAACTCTCAAAGTCTGGAAGGTTTCAGGAGGACAAGAAGTGTGGTTTTGCACACGTCAAGTTGGAGGTCCTGCTGCGACACCCACATGGAACTGTCTGGTAGACAGACAGATGTTCTGGTCTGAAACATTAGGAGGAAAGTCGAAGTCAGGGATAAAGGTAGAGAGTGGTTGGCATCTTTATGCAGCACCTGAAACCCTGTGGCAGGATATGGTCACAAAGAGAAGGTAAGCCTAGAAGGATCAATCCTGGAAGACTCTAACAGTTCCCAGACAAGAAGGCGATGCAATGGGGAGACAGCGGGAGAACAGGGTGGTTAGAAAGGGAAGAGAAGCATCCAAAGGGGTGCCGTCGGGATGCTAGGAGGGGATCCTCCCTCCTTTGTCCCTCCCGTCTGCCTTGTCATCATATAGAAACTGAGTGTATTAGATATTTTCTGCACTCATTATTTTCATTTTCCACTCTTAATTCACAATGGAATGAATTGGAATGAAAATATGAACTTCACTCATTCTTGTGGGAGCACCATTCTAGGAAATTTGTACTTGAACAATCCCTCAGTGCTCCGCGGCCACTGTGGAATTACAATTACCCAGCTATACAGCAGCAGTGGGCAATTATTGCCACAAGAGACCATGATGGAGCTGACTACACGGTTATCATGCCACTAGCATCACAGCCAGAGTGGCTCTCCCTCCACCGACCCAAAAGCCTGAACTGGTGAACCTGCTGCATCTGCGGGTAGAATTAGGATGAAAAGCACTACCTCTGTGAGATACAAAATCTCTGTGGAAGAAAAATCAGTTGGGGTTAGAGGCGGCAGCTGAAGGCCATGGCTCCCAGCCTGTGTGACAGCCCAGGGAGGGCCCCGCCTCTGCAGACACCGCTGGGACTGCAGCCAGCAGCCACCCCCTCCCCCACTTTCCTCGCTGTTTCCTAGACCCTGTATGGGGATCGGGACTCATGCAGGACTTGTTCTCTTCTGATCTTCCCGGACTTCTCTTTCTTCTTTGCCTTTGACCCTGTTTTCCTTGAAAATCACCAGCTCTTCCTTTTTTCCTGTCCCCTCTTAGCCAGGCGTTTCCTTGAGTGTTTAAAACTTAACCCTGCGCCTTTTCGGGAGCGGGGACTTGGCAAAGGGTACGCGAAGGACTGAAAAGGGGCAACGTCATGAATACCCTGTAATTCTCCCTGACTCCCCTTCTTTTCCTCAGTTGAGTGTACTCCTAAGAGCGATGCCACACCCTTAAAGACCTAAGGCCCCTTTTTCTCAACAGGACCCTTTCCCCGGGAAAGCCCCCTCCCCACCCCGCAGACCGGCAGAGTCTGCTGTCTTACTTGGCCGGAGGTTGTGGTGGCAGAGACAGGGATCCTCCGGAGCCCTGGGCCCGGGCTGTTCCATTCTGCCCGAGGAGGCGGCCACGGGACCCTGGCTCCGGCTGAACTCAGCACTGCGGGAGCCCCGGGCCGCTTTGTGACTCGTCGCTATGGAGACAAGGGTCGGGTTCCAGGGCGTTCTGCCCTGCCAACGGGTGCTGGCCACGAAGGAGGCTTAACCTGGCCAGCGCGGGAATGGGGTGCAGAGAGCAAAGAAATGTGGCTTTGATCCTATGGACGCCTTACTTTTTACATTATTTGTATAGTTCTTGCAGTGAGCTTTCCCGACCATGGTCTCCTATGTTTCCTATGAAAAGCAAAAAGGGAAGAGATTGAAGAGAAAGTAGTAGTGTCCGATTTTCAACTGCAAACTTTCATCCATTAGCTTTCAGCTTAAGCAAATGTGGGCAAAGTGGTCACGGATCTTTGCAGTAAGAACGAACCAAGCAAGAAGACTGAATCCCAAGTTGTCTGGTGTAAATAGAAGCAGTTTCTGTGATAGTTCCATGCAGTCAGAAGGGTCATCTTGGCTTAGGAGAGGGGCAGAAGGGGAAACGCAGGCATGGAAACAGGAGTGGGCAAGGAGGATGTGACACTCTCCTCCTCACCAGGCCACGTTCCTGGCACCAACCATAGTGTTTGTGAGTGTCAAATTAATTGTTCTTCTACTCTCATAGAGGAAGCTATGTCTTTCATCCTCTTGTGAGTTTTCACTGATGAAGGGGGTCTTTTATCTTCATATCCTGGGAACTACTGAAACTGTTTCAAAGAGTCAAAGACACCAATAACAGAGATTCTTGTTTTCAGGGGCAGATTAGAAAAGAAACAATTTGCTGAAACTCCCTCTGCTTACAACAAAACTGACTGAAATCAGCTGCAATCAATAAGGCCAAATGGAGTTTGCACACAGCAAGCTTGCTGACGTCACAGCCTGAATTTCTACCACGTTTCATACCAGCTCCCTCCGAATTTGCACATGGGACCTACGAGGAAGCTTGAAGACAGAACCATGCACGCCTGAAGACCTCCCAGATGTCCCCTTTGCTTCCACCAATTACCTGCTAACGCCAGGATCCACCCCTAAACCTTTTGTAATAAAATTACTGCTTTAAAGCCAGTACAAGCAGACAGATTTGAACTGGACTCCTGTTTCCTCAGAAGTTGACTTGCAATATGAAGCTTTTCTTTTCTCAAAAACTTGGTGTCATACTGTTGGTTTCTAGTGCAGTGAGCCCCCTTTGCTGGATAACACTACCTGGTAATTTGACATACTAGGTGGTTAGTAACTACTGACTGCCTCTAGGTGACAACAGTTATTACCCACCTGGGTGAAAAGAGAAGACAGGAAATACATATTGGAGTCAGCTGGCAACCTGTTTACAAAGCAATTTACAACAGTTCCTTATTCTTAAGGGGTTATTCTAATGTAAGACCTCAGAGAAACAGTGCAGTGTAATAAAGGAGGAATTTATCAAAAGACACAGAAAAAGCATCAAGGTAAGGATCCCAAATATATATGCAAGGAATGTCTTTAAAATGAAGAGCTAAACTAGAATTTTCTGAAGGTAGAGTTCTATCCATATAATGGAATGAATATAACACATTATAAACTCTCATATTTTGAAGCAATGGAGGGTGGAACACATTAGAAGGCATAGATGTTATTAAAAGGAATGAGTCTAAATTAGGATTTAGTAGTGGCATCTAAATTTAAAAAGTAGCACCCAATAACAGATTACTGTCTGGAAATGGTAGAGCTAATTAGCATAGCATAATTTAAGAGAAATATATTTTTAAAATAGAGCAGCAAGTATATAGAATTTTGAAAGTGAATTCTTATTAATATCTTACGATTTGTCTCATTTTAGGCAAGCTGTGAAATGGTGGGGTAGGAACCAAATAGAGAGCCAAAAGATCTGTCACTGCAGCCCCTTAGGGTAAGCAGACCCTTCCCCTGAGCCCTGGTCTCCTTATCTGTCAATGAGAATACCAGCACCCACCTCACTCTGCCGTAAACATGATGAGATCCAACAATAATTTATAAATTGTAAAATCACACAAATCTAAGGTATTGCTCTTGTTGCTATTCTGATCTTCATTCCTTTTACAGTCTTTCATTTCTGCTTCGAAGTGTATTTTTGCGTGGATCCATTTTATGGCGAGCGGTATAGCGCTATTCCTGCCTTTGAATTCTGGTTGCCTGAGGCAACTCCTCTAAATGATTAAGTAGAATATTTCCCCTGCTTTATTCTGTCCCTCAACAAATACTGACCGTGCACTGAATATGAGCTGTACGATGGCACTGGGGCAATGCCCTGATTATTATAGTGAACGAACTTCCTAGAAGAGGAGGTGCCTGAGTTGGGTCCTCAATGGTGCTTGGAGTCAGCCAGGTGAACAGGGGGAGGTGACGCAAACTAGCTCAAGGGCCAGAGGCATGGAACAGTGTGTGTAGTCCCAAGACCTTTAGTAGTTTAATATTGCCATGTTGTAAAGTGTGTCAGGGGACACTGAGAGCTGGCTGGGGTGGAATGCCCTGCAGGCCATCCTGAGAAGCTTGGACTTCACCTGAGCATGCTTGGGTTAAACAGTGTAGTGAAGGGTCAGGTTGGAAGTTTAAGTAAATCCTGGCCTCTCATTCCAGAAGGAGGAGAGGCAAAATTCCACATCGTTCTGCCAGAGTAAGTGAATCATTCAGAAATTAAAGCATCCACGTTACTAATTTAGGTTACTGGTATGTGTTTAGCAGAGTTTCAAATCGATCCAAAACAATTGAGAATAGTTGTATTGAATGGGTGAAATGTTAATTGGTTATTTTCAGTTGAAATGATTACAGCTGGGCGTGGTGGCTCAGGCTGGTAGTCCCAATACTTTGGGAGTCCAAGGCAAGAGGATCCTTTGAGCCTAGAAGTTCGAGACTAGCGCGGACAACATAGGGAGACCCTGTTTCTACAAAAAATGAAAAAATTAGCCAGTCACGGTGATGCACATGTGTCGTCCCAGCTACTTGGGAGGCTGAGGTGGGAGGATCGAGTAAGCCCAGGAGTTTGAGGCTGCAGTGAGCTGTGGTGGTGCCACTGCACTCCAGCCTGGGTGACAGAGAAAAACCCCATCTCCAAAAACAATGAAAAATTTTGACAATCAGTTTCTTTCTGCATGCACACATGCACCTGTGTGTGCATGTCCATGCACGCACACACATACACACACACACAAACACACACATAGAGAACATGATATGAAGTAGTAAAGACTGGGATGGGTGGTAAGGGTGAAGAGACAGCAAATATAGAACACTCAAGTTTAAACTGTAACAGAGAAGAAAACCTTTAACCAGGGGTGGAGGAGGGGCTCAGGTAGAGAGAGTTACTACTTAAAACAGGGAAGGAGTAACCAAATTCCTAGGCCAAGGGTCAGGAGCAGAAAGATAGAGCTTGAAGCTACAGGAGAGAGCAGATGGGGCCCAGGCCTGGAGAAGACAGGTGTGCTGGAGAGCCACTCCCCAATCTGAGTGTGCCTACCTGCCCCTGGGCGTGTGTGAGCACACGGATTCAGATTCAGGAAGTCAGGCGGAACCTGAGCTGCTGCATTTCTAACAAGATCCCAGGTGATTCACAGAGTTTGGGATAGACGGCTCTAGAACCTTGCTGTGCTCCAGTAACCTCAGCAGCACCTTGTTAGAAACGCAGACGTTCAGGCCCAGCCCAGAGCTGCTAAATCAGGATCTGCAGTCTATCAAGATCTAGAGGATTACTAGGAACATTCCAGTTTGAGAAGCACTGCTCCAGGTCATACGAGAGGCAAGGTCATCTCCCGAATGAGAGGGAGAGAGGAAAGAGTTGAAGGCAAAAATTCAAAGAGCAAGCTAATAAAGAACAGGTAAAAGAATTGACAGGTGGTCACTGCCAAAAGCCCAGAAGAGGTCACAGACAATCTGCCACCTCGTCAACTGCTTTGGATACAAAGATACAAAGTGAAGCTTCTCTGCCTTTGCTCTTATATTGGGACAAAATACTTTCTATTATGATGCAGTATGCAATGCTTTGATTCGAGTATCCTTAAATAGAGATTTCTTTTAAGGAATTGTCTCACACAGTTGTGACAAGTCCAAAATCTGTGGGGTAAGACAGCAGGCTGGAGACACAGGGAAGAGTTGATGTTGCAGCTTGAGTCTGAAGGCTGACTGTTGGCAGAATTCACTCTTGCTGGGGGAAGCCAATGTGTTATTCTAGTTCATCCTTCGACTGATTAGATGAGGCCCACCCACATCAGAGATGGCAATCTGCTTTATTCAAAATCCATGATCTAAATGTTAACCCCATCCAAAAACACCCCCACAGAAATATTCCGAATGACTGTTGACCAAAGACCTGGGCACTGTGACCCAGTCAAGTTGACACGTAAAATTAGCCATCACAGACTCAGATCTTGTTGAGTCGTCTAGGTCATAGTTGCCACTAAAAGGGGTTGTAGGTAAGTAGTCCAAGAATAATTTCAGTCCTCTTATTGGAAATTCCAGAAAAAACAATTATATAGTTACTTGCTATTAGGATAGTCTAATTTAATGGGGTAAATTCTAAGCTCTGCTTCTAACTTGCTACTTGCCAAATTTACTTATATTTCATCTAAATAAAACCATAACAGCAAGTTTAGACTATTGATTCTATCAAAACCTCATCAATCCCTTTTATGTGTGACCTCCCTCCTCGGCCAGCCCTTCTCTCCCTAATTCTTCTCTGAACTTTTTTTTTTTTTTTTTTTTTTTTGTAGAGATGGGGTTTCACCATTTTGCCCAGGCTGATCTCAAACTTCTGGGCTCAGGCAATCCACCCACCTCAGCCTACCAAAGTGTTGGGATTACAGGTGTGAGCCACAGCGCCCAGCTTCTTCTTGGAACACTTAAGAAACGCACAGGCTGTGGCAGCCATTGGGTAATTATCAACGCCTTCCATTGTTAGTTCTTCTCTCAGGTTTATGCAAGTAGCAAACAGCAAAAGTGAACAGTCATTTTAAATCTGTTATACCAGCACTTATCCATCCAAATGAATGTTCTCTTTTCCAAAGTAATCATTTATTTGAATGCTGCTTGTATTAGTTTGTTCTCACACTGCTATGAAGAAATACCCGAGACTGGGTAATTCATAAAGAAAAGAGGTTTAATTGACTCACAGTTCCGCATGGCTGGGGAGGCCTCAGGAAACTTACAATCATGGAGAAAAGCACCTCTTTCACAGGGCAGCAGGAGAGAGAACGAACGCCCAGTGAAGCGGGAAGCGCCTTATAAAACCATCAGATCTCACGAGAACTGACTCACACTCATGAGAACAGGACGAGGGAACCACCCTCATGATTCAACTATCTCCACCTGGTCCCTCCCATGATATGTGGGGATTATGGGAACTACAATTCAAGATGAGATTTGGGCGGGGACATAGCCAAACCATATTACTGCTGCTATCGCTTGAAGCATTTTTGAAATTCTTTAGAAACTCCCTTTGAAAACTGACACACATATTATTTTGAATTTCTTCAACGGGGGCATAACTTTGCTCTTTGAGGATAGATTGGATATTTGAAACAGTAAAATGGCATTCAAGCTGATAATTAAGGTAGGCGGTCAAGTTGAGCAACGTTATCTTTTAGCCAAAAATCAATCCAGTACCATCAGGCAATGAGAAAAACAAAAAACCAAAAAAAAACCCTCCCTCATTCTGTAAGTCATTTCTGGACTTGCATTCTTGTTGGAATAAGTGACTAGCCTCCAAGATCACTGAGAGCTTGGGTAAATCAGTCACTTGGATCAATCAATCCTTAAATATTTGTTTTAAAACTAAATTTTGCCAGGCATGGTGGCTCACGCCTGCAATCCCAGCACTTTGGGAGGCCGAGGCGGGTGAATCACCTGAGGTCAGGAGTTTGAGACCAGCCTGGCCAACATGGTGAAACCCCGTTTCTACTAAAAATACAAAAATTAGCTGGGCATAATGGTACACGCCTGTAATCCCAGCTTCTTGGGAGGCTGAGGCAGGAGAACTGCTTGAACCCAGAAGGCGGAGATTGCAGTGAGCCGAGATCATGCCACTGCACTCCAACCTGGGCAACAAAAGCGAAACTCTGTCTCAAAAATAAAATAAAATAAAATAACTAAATTTTACATTACATGTAATTGGTTTTTATCTCCAGAACTGGATTATAAGCATCTTAGATGTTTTCCTTTTTGAATTTATCTCAGAGCACTTGTTTTATTAGTCTTATTAGCTTATATAAGGGTCTTCTTTTACAGGAGTGGAAGCTCCTTGAAGGCAAGGGCCATGTTTAGGCACCTTTGTATGCCAGCATCTACCTGGTGTGTGCACTCAAACATGTGTGTTGAATGAATGAAGATGAACTGAATGAATGAATGACTTGCTTAGGTCATTGTTGTCCTACAGATTGTATTGACCTTAAACTGTTAAAATATCAGCTTGGGCCACATTTATACTCAGTGTGAGGCCTCTTTTACCCAGGAAGATCTGCTCCTAGATTTTTCATCAATTTTAAAGATTGCCCAATATAACTTCTTTGTGATAGTTACTAATAAAATACACTAGCACCGTGTAAATTTCTTATAGGCAATCAATAAAACTTTGCTGAGTGAATATTGAATGGGTGAATGCATTTGGTACAGAGTTGACTGAAAAGAAGTTTTTAATGGTGAAAGAAACCTTCCAGATCTTTAGTCCATTCCTGGGGTGATACTGATGGTTTTTCTCAATTCTACTACTTAAAAAAAAATCTTCTTTGTCAATTTTGTGAATAGAGTTTCTGTTTCCTTGGGAAGCATTTCGTATTTGATATCCACATAAGGTTTGTTTGCACTGGTTAACTTAGTTTACTGTTAATCCTCTTCATGTTTTTACTGAGTGTAATAATAAATGTTTAACCTCTTCTGTTACTAAGTAGCATTCCCCTTCTCTTTTCTGAAAGATCAGTATCGAATTTTATTTCCTTTCTTCAAATACTTCATAGCCCTGTTCTTCAAAACGTTCTTCCTGAGAAAGTGGCTATGAAAACCCACAATTCTTATTGTAATTCACTAAGTTACAATGCAAATACACCACCCACAAACCACAATGGAAAGCTCACATGAAGCCTCAGTCATAAATTTAATCAATTCTAGTTTGAATGCTAAGAAAAGTTTTAATTGTGAAAATGCGGTACATAATATTTCAAAAATAAATGGAAGGATCATCAGTAGTGTTATCAAAATGCATAACACAGAAACTTTTTAAGAAAAGATAAAACAATTACACTCAGGACCCATAACTCTTCCTCATTATAAGCATATGTAGTGATTCATTCATGCAGGTTTTTATATGTAGATAGGATTTTTTTCCTTTTCGAGAATTCCATTGTAGCCATGAGATGAAAAATGTATTATGGTGATGGTATAGCTTTCTTCCATTTTGCTTTTAGTGTTAGGATTGCTAAAAGCTTATTTAAAATTCCCAACTGACATAATGTGCTTTCAATAAGGAGGACACTGCCGTGTCCAATACCCTTCCCCTCTCATTGTTCGGTACTGTATCTCCTGGCTTCATTCTACATGGGTCACTTAGTTAAGAGGGAGGCCAAGGGAGTTCCAGTTTCAGGCAGTGTGTGGCAGGGTTACTGTCCTAGCAACCTGGCTGCTACTCCAGTGAATCTCACCGTGAACGTTTCTCATAGGTGTCATATGGCAGGATGAAAAACACATTTGCCTTCCGGTGAAAGATGGCACAGGCTTTTGCCCAGCCAGGTTGGCAAGAGAACAGAACTCTTATCCCCTTGCGCAATAGGTCTGAGTTCAAGGGGTTGGATGCCCCAAGCAGAGGGCCAAATCCTGATTTATGAAGCATGTTGGGTCAACAGC